CGCCCCGCCCGCCCGCCCGCAATAAGCGCAGGATGGATGTCCTCTTCAGCCTGCCGAGAGCTTCCTTCCAGGGATCCACTACGAAGTCATCTCCGGGCCAGACTATGTTCACAACGGTGGGAGGCCAACCTCTAGCCATGTGAACCAAAAAGAAAAATATATTCTCAAAGCCAGTCAGAGCACCGTCCAAAGGCGGGTGCTGTCGACTAAGGGACAATCTTGTCTGTCGGCAGCCGAACTTGTGATGGGACACCCCTCGGAATCCAACTGCGTACTACTTGGCTAGCACGCTATTGGCATACCGACGGCTAAGGCCGAAATCGGTTCACACCTGCTCTTGCAGGTGTGAACACAAAGGATTCGCTGTATCTACTCAACTGCTCCGCTTACACTTACCTGTGAAGTGTGAACAGCGGATTTTGAATCAGCGTTCTCCTTGAACGATATCGGTGTCGAAACACCGCTCTGACAGCGCTCACAGCTGCGTTCCTCCGCAACGATAGCGACGATGCAGCCCGCGCTTTTGTTTTCTCGCTCGCTTGATTGGTTTGGGCACGTCCAGCTCCAGGTTTCTGGCCCGCACCACGGCCCCTCTCTCTCTCTTCAGACCTCGCCCCTCACCGCTATTCCATCACACCCACAGACAGTCATATGCTGCTCTACGCCGCGCTCGGCGCCGTCGTCCTCTTCTTCTGCGTCACCACCTCGCCCCAGGCCGTGGCACGCCTCCTGCTCCACCTCGCTGTCTGGCTGCCGTACCACTGCGGCCGGCACGTCGCCTCGTTCCTCGCGCCGAGCTTCTTCTGGAAGTCGGTGCAGGGCGAGGTCGTCGTGCTCACGGGCGGTGCGGGCGGCATCGGCAAGCTGATCGCGACAAAGTTCGCCGCCGCCGGCGCCACCCTCGTGCTGCTCGACAAGTCCGCCGAGCTGCTTGACGAGGCGCGCAAAGCCGTCGAGGCGGCGGCAAGGCGGGCGGGCTCGACTGCAGCGGTGCACGCGATTTGTGTCGACCTTAGCAACCGCGAGGCAACCTTTACCCGGCGATGGCACGGGCCGACCTTACATCCTTGTGGTTGCATTGTATTGGTATATTGTAGGCGACCTACGCGGCGATGGCGCAGGCCGCCGAGGCGGCGGGCCCGTGCACGATCCTCGTCAACAACGCGGGCATCGTGACGGGCAAGAAACTGCTCGACGGCTCCGACTCGCTGCAGGAGCTCACGATGGC